ACGTGCCCACGCAGGGGACTGGTTCCAGCTCCCAGAAAGATGTTCTGGATCCAAGACCCGTGCGACCCGGCACACAGCCACTGGCCACGTGTCATGTGTGGCTGTCCGGCTCACAACATTACAAGCTGCAGTGATCTGCGCCCAAGTGCAAGCTCCATGCCAGATCAGAGGACTCAGTGCAACAACCACAAAACATACGCTGCCCGTGGATGATCTGTGATACTGATCACAAGGTGACCCAGATAATATTTTGAATATGCTGGGTTAAATATAACATACATTTTTCTTTTCTTTTTTATGAGAGATGAGGTCTTGCTCTGTCGCCCAGGCTGGAGTGCAGTGACAGGATCTATGTTGCCCAGGCTGGTCTCGAACTTCTGGCCTCAAGCAATCCCAAAGTGAACTGCTGGGATTACAAGTGTAAGCCACTATGCCCAGCCTATAAAATACATTCTTAAGATTAGTTTCATTTGTCCCTTCTTATTTTTTGACGTGGCTCTGCTGTAATCCCACCACACTGCGCTGAAACTGTCCTTCGGTTTCCATACTCCCCATGGGGCCTGGGTCTTGGGAGGCAGGAAATATGTCTTCATCTTAATGTGTTTCCAGTTCCTGGTCCCAAGACTGACACACAGAAAGTGTTTAGGAACCAGCTGACGATGGAATGAACGATGATTGTGTGAATGAATGAAAGCATACAGGCACTCACACGGTGCCCCTCGCTGGTCTCCTAAAACCACATTTCCAGATTCCTTGGGAGACAGCTGCATCTGTGAGCCAGTGTTTGACTTTCCTCAAACAGCTGCAGAGTGTCTGGAGTCTGGGTAGCCAGGGGAGTCCTTTAGACATTCAAGGTGACCCTCATGTTGGGCATCTGGCCATGGGCCCAAAGCAAAGAACAGGTGTGTTCTGCTCCAAACGTCCCTTCCCTCTCCTCACTCCTGTGCCTGCTGATATGGTGTGGCTGTGTCCCCACCCAAATCTCATCTTGGATTGTAGTTCCCATAATCCCCATGTGTTGTAGGAGGGACCTGGTGGGAAGTCACTGAATCATGGAGGCGGTGACCCTCATATCCCTCATACTGTTCTCGTGATAGTGAGTGAGTTCTCAAAAGATTTGATGGTTTTATAAGGGGCTTTCCCCTTTTTGCTCTGCACTTCTCCTTGCTGCTGTCATGTGAAGAAGGGCATATCTGCTTCCCCTTCCGCCATGACTGTAAGTTTCCTGGGGCCTCCCCAGCCCTGTGGAACTGTGAGTCAACTAAAACTCTTTCCTTTCTAATTCAAGGAATCTTTCAACTATAATACTAATGTACCTGGCTTCTGATTAGACCATTTCCCCAGCTCTAGCCTTGAAAATTAACAATTACATTTTCTCCCCAAGTAGGATCCAAGTAAGAAATGGCATGCGTTTCTGTCTTGTAAATTGCCATAATGGCTAAATATCCACACCAAGTCCACAGAGAAAGAACAGGATATCTTACCTTTCAGTGAAAGAAGGAGGGGGGAAAACAACATAAAAAATTTATTAAACTCGAGCCACCGGGACCAAATCGCAAGTTAAAGATTCAGATGCATTCCCCTTCCTTAGAACTGATGATTTACGTTTGCAATAACTGCAGTCATGAAGAGCTCACGGGATTAAGGAGGCTCAGTCTTAATGTCAGGGAATAACATTACTGGACGATGCAAAGCCACATGTACCCGGAGTTGCTTTTCTGGGTGAGAGGAATTCCACTTTGCATTTTGGTTCAAGAGATCGGTCACAATCAGGATGGGCAGAGAAAGATGGAAAACGGGCAACCCAGCCAGGTGCGGTGGCTCACGCCTGTAATCCCAGCACTCTGGGAGGCCGAGGCGGGTGGATCAACTGAGGTCAGGAGCCCAAGACCAGCCTGGCCAACATGGTGAAACCTCGCCTCTACCAAAAATATAAAAACTAGTCGGGTGTGGTGGCGCATGCCTGTAATCCCAGCTACTCGGGAGGCTGAGGCAGGAGAATCATTTGAACCTACGAGGTGGAGGTTGCAGTGAGCTGAGATCATGCCACTGCACTCCAGCCTGGGTGACAAGAACAAAACTCCATCTCAAAAAAAAGAAAAAAAAAATGAAAAAGTAAATGAGCAACCTGGGATCTAGCCTGACTCCCCAGGCAAAAATCCTCAAAATTGAATGTGCACTATAAACCAACAGGGGCAGGCCTGGCCAGGCTCCTATGGAGTGGGCCACACAAGGCCGATGTGGTCCCCATCGTCCCGGAGCCCTCCTGTGCTGACTGTCCAGAAACACTGAGGGATGTTTCTGGAAAGCACAGAACCCCAACCTCAGGCTGGTAACTTAGAAGAAACAGCAGGTCAGAAACTTGCCCTCACACCAGCCAGGAGCTCCCCAGGCTCTGGGGGGCTCAGGCTCTGTGTGGTGGGGGGTTAGGGTCAAATTGTGGCTCTGTCACTCACTAGCTGGATGACATGGGCCAGTGGTGTCCCCTCTCTGGGCCTCAATTTCCTTATCTGTAAAATGAGCACAACCACAGAACAGACCTCATAGAGCAACTGCGAGTGGGGGATGCGAGGAAATGAACCCCAGCAGTGCCCAGCTCCAAAAAAGCTCGTAAGCACCGTCCACTGTTGCTGTCATTGTCATGTGGGTACAGGCGTCCTACCACGTGCAGAAGGCTTGCCCTGCTAGGGCTGGACCAGGAGAGGACAGGAAGAAGACACAGGGTCTGACCCTCTGATAGGCAGGGGACAGGCATTTAACTCCCTAATCACGGTGCACCCCTTGGGCAGCCCAGAGGCCCAACAGAGGCATGGGTGCTGAGGGGGCGCTGGCCAGGATGGCACACAAGATGGCACACAGTGGGAGACACCTTGGCCCGGACGTGGCAGAGAAGGATTTCCAAGGCACGGAATGCCGGGAGGGGTACGGGGGGTATGGTTCCAACTCTATGGTTCCAACTCTGGGGTATGGTTCCAAGTAGGATGGCTGCAGACTCTGCTGGGGGCTGGGGGCTTATCCTTCAGGGACTTCCCTCTGGCCATGCCACCAGCCAGAAGCCCTGCCCCATCTGAGCCTCAGTTTCCTCCCCCCTTACAGGGTTGAGATGGACAGTCCCTCAGTCAGTCTCAGGAGCCTGCATGCTGCAGTGAGCAGTTTGGGGAATTTATTTTCTTTCTTTCTTTTCTTTCCTTTCTTTCCTTTCTCTTTCCTTTCTCTTTCCTTTCTTTCCTTTCTTTCTTCCTTTCTTTTTTTCCCCAGACGGAGTTTCACTCTTGTCGCCCAGGCTGGAGTGCGGTGGTGCGATCTTGGCTCACTGTAACCTCTGCCTCCTGAGTTCAAGCGATTCTCCTGCCTCAGTCTCCCAAGTAGCTGGGATTACAGGTGTCCACCATTACACCCGGCTAATTTTTGTATTTTTAGTATAGACAGGGTTTCACCATGTTAGCCAGACTGGTCTCCGACTCCTGACCTCAGGTGATCCGCCCGCCTCAGCCTCCCAAAAAAGTGCTGGGATGCTAGGAGTGAGCAGCTTTTTTTTTTTGGAATTTTCGAAGTCTCCCTCAGATTCCTGAGGCTGGTCAGGGCGGACAGTGGCCTCCAGGTGGGTGCCCCAGGCCTGGCTGTGACCTGCATGGCCCCTGTGCCCACCTCTCCCCTTCAGGATGCTCTATAACCCTCAGACCCACGTGGGGCCGACCGGATGTCTGGAGGAGCTCTGGGAGTCCGACCAGTGGGATTTCCCCAGGACCCCGTGGCCAGCCCAGCATCAAAGGGAAGGGCTGATGGCAGCTACTGCAGCTGGTGGGTGAAGAATTTCTTTCACAGAAGTGCATGAGACTGGGCTGCCAGCGTGGCGCTGTGTGATTTGGGGATGACTTGAATTGTGTCTATAGACAGGGATCCCGCGGGAAGTATTTTCCTGGGCCCTGCAACCTAAAGGCAGCTCTGGATGTGGGCTGAGCAGTAAGACAAGCAAAGCTCCAGCCTACACTGCAGGTGCGCAGTACACGCGGCTCCCCCTCTTACTCCTCTCTTGGTTGCCATTCTCAGTCTGTGCTCCAAGTTGAAGGGAGAGAGAAACCCTAAGAGTCTTCCCAGAAGAAACCGTGCTTGAGCTAAGAAGCTGCTGTCAAACAGTTCCAGAGGCCCCCAGGCAGCAAGCAATCCCGAAGGCACCATCTCCCGGTGGCCTGGGAGGGCGGTGGATGAGCCGGGCTGTGAGCCCCCAGCAAGGACGCTAGGTCTCAGCCTGGGTCCCTCACCTGCAGGTGAGGTCCCTTCCTCCTACCCTCCTACCTCCCCCCTCCCGGAGCGGGTCACGTGATCCCACCCTGGTCACAGATTCCCACGAGTCCCGGTGGGGCTGCTGCCCTGGTGCAGTGGCCAGGCTTGGGCAGTGCCTGGGTGGAGCAGAGGCCTCTCAGAGGGAGGAATGAGGTGGACACAGAGAAGAGCAGAGGCGGGTCCACTGAGGCAGGGCAGTGCCTGCTGGGCCACGTGTCAACCCCGAGCCCACATACTCCTGTGCCCTGAGCCTGGGCTCCAGGGGCCTCTGCTTCTGGTAGCACCGCTCCCTCCTCACGACACGGCATCCCAAGACCCGGCTTGGGGAGCGTGGCCAGGCCCCTTTTTGAGCAGGCCCCCTTTCCGCCCCACAGCTTCGCAGAGACAAGCCCTCATGGAGGACCCTGCTAGGGCAACAGGCCAACACCTGGGCCAGCCATTAGACTGGCTTGGCAGCCTTCTAGAATGTACAAGGGGTGTGAAGATCTGCTCATCTCTGAAGGCCTCTCAGATGCATGCCTTCCCACTCAGCATGGCAGCCCACGCCATGATCCATCATGAGGAGACACCCCCGTGGGAAGAGCCAGGGCCAGCTCTGCCTGCACTGTGGCTGCCATGTTTCCTGTTGACTCTCTGGACACCACCAGGAACCTCCCCGCCCCTCCCTCCTTCCCTCCTCCCCTCTTCCCATCCCTCCTCCCATCCCCCCGCCTTACTCCGCCAGCTCCTCCAGGCTGCGGTAGACGTCATCGTCATTCTCTGCGGTCTCCTCTGAGGGAAAAGGCCTGCGGAAGAGAAGGCGAGAGGGAGGTGAGCAGGTCCCGGCACTGCCGGCCAGTGGGACCCCAGCTGGACCCCACGGCAGAGCCCAGTGTGGCCCGGCCAGGAGCAAAGGGGCTCTTGCCCACTCTCTAGAAGGATACCGGGTGCGCGGACACTGATCAGAGTCACAGAACGAGCCAACTGGGCCGTAGGGCAAGACGAGACCCATGCCCAGCTCGCCAGGGGGCAAGGAAAGTGTCACACGCACTCCAGGCTCTGGGTGTCCAGTGGGCAGATGAGAGGCCCAGGTCAGGGCTGCAGAAGGCGTTCATCTGCCCGGCGACCTGCCTTCCCCTTTACCCGCGCTCCCACTTCCAGGGGGTTCGCAGCGGAGAGGAGGCTCCTCGCACACCTCCTGGTGGGCAGGTGGGAGGGCTGCCAGCTCAGTCCCCGCAGGAGAGGAAGCAGGAGGGGACTCCAGAAGGGAGGGGTGAGTTCTGAGGCACCGAGGGTAGGGGCTCACCTTCCCCACCCACCAGCCCCTGGCTTGAGGTCAGGAAGAGAGTCCCGAAAATGAAAAGCCCTCGGAACCTTCTGCATGGATCTGCAGCCTCCCCTCCTACAAAGGGAGCAGGAGCCCCATGGGGACGCCCCAGAAGGAACGTGGGCTGCTCCCCCTCCCCCTCCGCCCCCAAGACGCCCCAACCCTGCTGCTTTTCTTTAGTTCAGGATGGTATATAAATATATATATATACATAAACTTTAATCATCTGGGCTCTTCTTGAGTCTCATTTTTGTGGAACTCTCATGCATATGTATATAATTATAATTGTTTTTCTCCTGTTCATCTGTCTTATGTCAATTCAATTCATAAATCCGCCCAAGAACCTGGAGGGATGGAAGGAAGCGGTTTTCCTCCCGCAGGACCCAAAGCATCGCTCTGCTCCGTCCTCTGCAGACAGACAGATGGGTGTAGCCCCGAGTCTACAGGCCTCCCTGCACAAGGCGAGCCTGGGCCAGCACAGGCTAACCACTCAGAGCTGAAATGCCGGACCAGCCTCGGGGAGGGGCAGAGGCGGAGGGGAGGGAGGGGTGGGATGGAGGAGAGGCAGGAGAGGCAGATCAAACACCCAGAAGAGGGGGCTGCAGCTGGTTCAAGGCTATGGGCCAAATCCACTCATCTCTACAGGAGACCTGAAAGACCCCTTAATTAAACCAAACATCCCTGTGTAGCCCCCGGGTGCGTGTTCTGGTAGGAAACCTGTCACTAAGGATGGGACGGGAGATCCCAGCCGGGGGGCTGCCTGGGCCCAGATGCCAGCTGGGATTGCTTCCTTGCCTGGGGTCAGGCTGACATTTGCTCAGCCCGAGATCCAGCAGGGATGCAGTCCATCCTGGCAGCCCTGTCCCACCTGGAGGCTGGGGGCCTGTGCTCCTGTGGGAGGGGCAGGGGGGAGTCCACTGAGCTGTGAGCTGGAGGCCTGGGTCCTACCTGGCTCTGTCACAGACCTGCAGGGACTAGGTCTCAGGTCGGAGGTCCCCAAGCCAGACCCACCATGCCATTGGTCAGCGTGCCCCTGTGGCTTCCTGGTAAAAGCCCATGTCCAAGGGGGCAGCACAGCCAGGCCTGACCTCTGCATGGGTGAGCTCGGCTCTCTGCTCCAGCCACTCTCCCTCCTTCCACCCATCACCATACAGCCGCATCCCCCAGTGGAGGTGCGTGTCCCGGGTCACGGGCAGAGCTGAGGCTGCCACGAGATCCTCCCCACCAGGGCTCCGTTGCTGACACAGCACCATTCACGGCCAAGAAGCCCCTCAAGGAATCCATCTCCTCCCGTGATATGCAGAGCCCCAGGCTGACACAGACCCCGTGCAGCTGATGGGGGTGGGGCTGAGAAGCCACAACCTGGAGGGACTGGCCCACACGCGGGTGACCCCAGAAAGCACAGGAGGCTCTGCCAGGCTGAGATGTGGCTTCAGGACCCAGAGGTGGAGGCTTCTTTCCCTTCAGCATGAAACCCCGCTGCCAGGACCGGCCCTGGGCCGTCCCCGCTCCCACGCCAGCCCCTCGCTTACGTCCAGCCATCCCTGTCTCCGACCTCATCAGTCATTTCTGCTTTTTCTAAATTTTCAGTGATGATGGGTATGACTTCATAATAAAGAAAAACAGAATCAAAATTCTCATTATGAAAATGTGTCCTCATCGTAAGTAAATATTTTAAACCCCACTCATCTTCTATAAAAGTACGTTATGTAAAAAATGACATCGTGGCAAAGTATGAACGTGCTTTCTCACGCAGAATGTAGAGAGGGAAGAGAAAATACCAAACTCCTGAGGTTGTGCTCTTGTTCAAATCTGATCACAGAGTGTGGGTGACAGTTTAGGGAAACGGGGCATCCCATTGAATCCTGGATTATCAACAGGACGGCCATTCGGGGACTGTACTTCCAGAACCCGCCCTGCTAAGCCAACCGAGAGATGCATTCACACTTCGAAGGAGACCCACCCTAACCACGAGTGAGCACACACACCTGCCTCTCACTCTTCCTGTGCCCAGGCAGACATCACTCATCAATCAAAGCTCTCCTATCCCTGAAGCACAGCGTTCTTAACACAGGGCTCTACTCCTCCATCAGTCCTGGGACTCAGACAGAACCCACCTGCCCTGCCAGGAGAGCTGAGCCCGGGGGCAGCGAAGGAGAGGAAAAGCTTTGGAGCTGGGCTAACCCAGGTGTGAACCCTAGGCCCATCCCCTGCTCCCTGGGACCTTGGACAAGCTACTAAACCTCTCTGAGTGTCCGCCTTCTCCCCCTGGAAAATGGAAGTAATAGTGTCTTCTCAGAGGGCTGCTGGGAAGGGCAGCTGTAGGACGGCAGAATGCTCTGGACTTAGTGGGGTCAACAACGGCAGCTGCGATTTAGAATTTCTAGTATCATCCTCACTCAGGGCGCTTTCCACCGTCCAAGAAAACTGCCTTCTGAAGCCTCGTGAGGAAGCCCCGCTCACCATGATGATTTCGGATTCTTGTTTCCTAACACAGAAAGTGAGAGCCCACTAAAATAAGGCACAACAGTCATTTCAAAACCTTTTGTCGGCCAGGTGCAGGGGCTCACACCTGTAATCCCAGGACTTCGGGAGGCCCGAGCCGGGTGGATCACTTGAGGTCTGGAGTTCGAGACCAACCTGACCAACATGGTGAA